AAATGAAAGAAAATGCTCGGACTAGAAAGGTGCCTAATTTTGTACCGGTGCGTGGAAAACGCAGTAGAGGAAGTCTCAATAGAGGACGTTCCCTGTCTCAGGCGTCGTATTTTTTAAGTTGCGAATGTTTTTACTCTATTCAATTTAAAACTACTTGCCCTATAGCATGCCAGCTGAAATTGGTAAATTGGTATAATAAATATATTCTAAAAATCCTCCATTGCCGCTCAATATTCGAGTCAAATTGTAGTCTACTTTATACAGAATTCATTGAATTCTTACCGCAAAAGAATTTTACTACTTTTTAAAAATAATTTCGGCTGTAATTTATTTTTTTAAATTTGGCACAGTGCAATCATGTGTTTTTGTTAAAAAATCAAAACAAATAACAAAAATTGCCCATGAAATTTTTCTTAACAGTGCGCTATTCAACAAATTCGCTCCGAATACGAACCTAAAAATGGTGAACTTGCAAATAATTGCTCGATTTGAGATGGTATTTATGCAATTTCTGAGAGTGCAATTGTTAGATGTTGTTGTTCTCAAATAAGTTTCTATCCTATATAGGCCGTGTGCGAGTTCGAGTAAATTGAGGTGAAGTAAATTAAAATTTCCTACGGATTTTTTACGCTACACTTATGTAAATATTTATTTATTTATTTTTTGCACTTATTTATTATTTTTGGTTAAAAGTTTTCAAATTTATTTATATATTTATTAAATATCTTATACAATTTTCACAATGGTAATACCTTATTTGCCTAATTTACCCTACTCGAAATTCTGATAAATACCAATAACATTCGCTACCATACCGACATAATTTGCCATTTCCCTCAATTTACTATCAATTTACTCGAACTCGCACACAGCCATTAATCTTCTATGAGGTGTAGTTTCAAAAATCTCCATTCTCCATGTATGCTTTGACTTAAAAAAAAAATACTACACTGATGTAATTTGAAATTTAAAGCAAAGTGTGCTGACCATGTATGGAGCAAAAATTAAGAGCGGAGAGTTATTTATTTTTATTTAGTTTCGCTTTTCAGCTTGTTTTCTTTAGTTAAAAGTCATTGTTTAATTATTGGCAGGAAAATACTATATTTGCAATATTGAGGAACGGGGTGTCATTTATAGATTAAAGCATATATAGGTTAATTTGTATGTTATAGAGTTTCAATTTTAGCATTATTTTAATGGAATTAATTACAAGAATTAAATCGTATAATCATTATGGGAAATTGCTTGAAGATAAATAATTCAGATGATGTATCACTATTACGAAGTAGTGAAAACAGTAATGGACAAGACTTTGAACAAAACGCTTCTACACCAGTGTATTCTGTAAGCTGTTAATATGTATTATGCAAATTAACAATATTTAACTTAATTCTTAATTTTATACACAAAAATTGCATTTTGTTCTGCATGTTTTAAAATAAAAATAAGTAAACAGTCCATTATTATTATCCATTGATAGTCCATTATTATTATATTTACGATAATCCTATATATTTCAGTTAAAATGTGAATTTTGTTTCTTTCTTTTAGGAGATCCTTCAGCCTGTTTATTACCCGTCTCCATCTGTAAGTCGTCCAGCATCGAACCTAACAGAAGAGGAACAAGTAAAGATTGCAAAGCGTATTGGACTTATACAGCATTTACCAATAGGTAGTAAAAAATGTACTTTTAAAATTTTATATTTTATTAATTATTAGTCCATGATAACTTATAAGAGAACCTGATTACAATTGAAATGGGTGCTGCAAATAATTTATAGCTTTCAGAGGACATCTTAAGACTTTAACTTTAAGTTGTACTTAATAACTATTTTTGGAAAAGAATTCTAATTACAGTTAGATTATTTGTTAGAAAATTAAATTGTTAACTATTGGTTATTCTTATAAATTGTAAATTGTATATTGTATATTATATTGTTTACATTTGCTTTTTCTCTAGATTTATATATTAATTTAATTATTTTTTAACATTCTTTAATACATTTAAGGTACATACGATAGTTCAAAAAAAACTAGAGAATGTGTTATATGCATGATTGAGTTTTGCGTAAATGAAGCTGTGCGGTATCTGCCATGCATGCATATATATCACGTCCGATGCATTGATGACTGGTTAATGCGAAACCTAGTCTGCCCCAGTTGTATGGAACCTGTTGATGCGGCACTATTAACTAGCTATGAGACGACATAACGTTATGTATAATATAATATTTATCAGCTATTTAAAAAAAAAACTGTTGCATTTGAAGTAAACAGAAACAATTTTTTTTCTTCTAAAACTTACATATAATTAAATTAGTGACAAACTTTTAACAGGAAAGATCGATAGTTTGGACATTATTTGTACGTCTTTAAATCAAATGTAATAAGAATTGTTTTGTTATTTAGTTTAATATAATTGAAAAATTTATGGATTTTATTTTTGTGTTTGTACAAAACTAGATATAATTTCGATGGACAATATGCATAAAATTGTGATTAAGTTATAGAAACTGTATGAATAATAAAAGCTGTCTTAAAAACTTAATGTATTAATAGGATAATTAGGCAGTGATGTAATAATTGCTTTCAATGCACTTATCTCAGAACCACTAAGCTAAAAAACTTAAAATGTGAAACAATCAACGTAAATTTTTGTCATTTTTAATGCTGTTAAATTGTGTTGGAATCAGTTTGAGTTTAGGTTAATTTTCTGCAATTTGTAAGAAGGTGGTTTATTTTACTAAAAGGAAATATAAAAATAAATAAGCTTTCAAACTTGCTAACAAAATTTGTATAATTAAAAAGGTATTACCCTGAAACTTAAAATTATGTCTCACTTCGTACTTATTTACATATCAATTTTTAATTAAATATTTGTTGCTTGTGTAATACTCGTACGTGGTGAGTTCGCAGGTTTAGAAGCTTTTAAAAACAACGCAAACAACAAGTGTGTTGAAAGCATTAACGACCTAACTTATTTAGTGCTGTACTGTTAATTTATTGCCTTTTTATCGTTAATTGTTTGATGGTGGTAAAAAAAGTAAAAGCCAAACTGCAAAGCTGGGACCTTTTCGAAATACAAACAAAGCACTGCTTCTCGTTTAGTTGTGGTTGTCGTGGTAGTCTGTTGGTTGGTAATCGCGAAATAAGCAGCGTATATATGAGTGTCGTGTGTCGTTGGGTATTCGTTAGTATTTTTAATATAATTTTGTATGTTACAAGTGCAACTGTTCGAAACTTAAAAAATCAAAATGTTTAGATAATTTTAAACATAAAAAATATTAATGAATATTAATGAAGAAGCCCATTCTCAATCGTATTAAAGCTAATTATTAAGACTTAGATGCTACGTATTGAGATGGCATAAGTGCAGAACCACTTACATGTTATAATTTTATCAATAAACGCACTTATTTGTGTCACATCAAGATGGCAGAGTCCGGAATAGATATGGACTTTGATTATGACATTGAGTACAATGATTTGATGACAGAGGATAATTTTAATTTTTTATCTCCAGTGTTAGCTGGGCTTAATACGGATAATGTTGAGTTCTATGAGTTGAAGTCAACTCCAAGCCAAATTAATTCAAATGAGATGTAAGTAGAACTACATAGAAACATAGAATTTTTAAAAAATGTGAACGTCAATGTATAAGTTTTAAGTAAGCACACGCTCCTATATTATAAAAGCCACAATTGTTAAAAAATAATCGTGCTCATGCAATTAATAGAATGATATGAAGAACTACTATCTTTACAAATAAAATACACATATGCGAAATTTGTTGCCCTACCAAATTTTTTGACGGTATTAGTTGATATCATGAACACTGCTCATATGGTAGATGGTGAAATTATGAACTACGACAATGAATACGATGTTATCCCATCAATATTAATAAACAAACAGTCAAAAGTGATTGAATTTATATATACTTACTTAAATATCAATGATTAAAATATTATTTTTAGAAATTTAAAATAAAGCTTTAAAAAAAACTGTGGAATCGTTTTAAAAACAGACACCATTTGTAACAGAGAAGAGAAGTAAAAGTTCAATTGATGATTCGATAAGATAGAAAATCAGATACCATGCTGGTCATTGTTATGGTTAGTTGACTGAAGGATTAACTGCTCCAATTAGTTGCAGTTTATTTCTTATGTATTTAATAACAAAATGTAACCTTATCAATTCAAAGCAATACTTAAATACTCATATTTGGAAAAAGTATATATACTTCTGCACCGAAGCAAATTGCTCTTAGAATGGTCTTGTGTTTTATGTATTGTTATATATATATAACAGGGCTTATGAAAGGAATAACTCTAGTGTGTGTCGTGCACATTGAATAATATTATAATTTGAAAACATCACAAGTTCATAGTTTTAGAATAGACGGTTTTTACCTTTTATTTCTGTACAGAGTTTGAAATGTCATTTAAATGGAAACTAACTCGATATGAACCATGTATATTAAATTGAATTGATCTAATTAAGGAGAAATGGTTATGACTTTAAATTTAGTATAGTTTATGTTACAGCCCTATAGTGCTGGTTGTAGCAGATCAATAATATATTTTGTAGATGTGTAATGGCAATTCTGAAAAGCTTTCTAGTTGAAACTTGAATGTTCGTAACGAGAGACATACAAATGCAAAAAATGAACTTTTATCAGTTCCATTCGAACACAGATCTGTCGGCGCATACATATAAAGTAATTAATTGTTAACCAATTAACAATATCCAAGACCGCTCACACCGACATGCGCAACTTTTAATCATAAAATGAAATACAAACATGTAGCTGTAAATTGAAATCCATAAATATGTCTAACGTATGTACTAAACTTAATCGCGCTCAATTTATAACGAATAGAAGTGATTCACTTAATGCCAAATTTGAAATTTAACGAAGAAGTAGAATATAACTACATGTATCAAGAACTTATATTAATGAATTATTAACTATAACGGCAAATAAATATTAAATATGCGCATGAATTTTGGGAAAAAGAGCATAAATACTCAAGGTGATTGGCGCTCAGCACTCTCTCCAACACCAATTCTGCAATCATACTAACTTAATATTGCTTTCTCCTCTTTAAGTGGCTCTCTCCTAAGAAGTGATGTTGATTATGAATGCAGCGAGAAGCAACGTCTGAAAATATTGTACATTCGTGCCAATACATATAGTAATATTTGGTAAGAGACAAATTAGACACTTTTGGCCAGTTGGTTACATGCGAGTGAAGCATTCTTAGTACAAGATCAAGGCCCAATGATACATTATAAATAATGATTATGAGAACATTACCGAAAAATATATACAAACTATATATATTGCATATTAAACAAGTGTTGTGTAAATTAATTTTTGAAAAATAAATTCAGATTTCAGAAACAAATGCACCAAGTATTTAAAATATTAAAAAATAAATAAGAAATTGTATGAAAAATATTCTGAACGCCGATTTGAATATAATATACACGCTACACGCTTACGTGTAGAAATATATAAACTATTTATCTAAAGATAGAAAACGGAATAAAATCAAAATATTCGATATATAAAAAAAATCAAAAATAGTACATATGGATTTATTCAATATACATATATGTTAGTGAATTTTACAAAATAATATGAAAATGTTTTCCTATTGGGGGAAAAAAGTTACTGCTAACAGTAATATCGATAGACATAACAGTACTAATGAGAAAACCTGTGATATTTTGAATATGTCACCACCGTTACCAGAAACTGAAACGAGCGATATTGAGCAAGTGCATATCTATGCACCGCAATGTCATTTACACGAATGCCAACAACAAAAACTGAACCAAATGCAGGATAATGACAATCCCTCCTCTAAGCAAATACCGATATCGAAACAGGATAACATTAAAGAGTTTCTCGAAATCTTAAGACGTGTTGAAACACTTCAAATGTCGTCTTCAAACACAAGTTCTATTACTAACAAATTTGAGCAGCAACCAGTGCAGAACAATATGAATGATGCACTCGGTATAGAAATGGGTATTGAACCTTCCATAATAATGGATTTTGAAGAAGTTAGCAATGAAAGCATAGACATAGAAAAGCAGCACCATCACAACCATGCGGAACATAACGAGTTGCCAAGTACTGCATTAACACGGACAGGAAAAAATAATTCATCTAATATTCGTGTAACAGTTGGGATTGATAAAGATTTAGAGATGATTTTGGCAATGGACCCAACAATTGTCGATTTGGGTGATATGGCTGTTACCTCTCCGATCGTTGAAAACATAGTAACTGGTTTACCACCATTAACTGGAGGGTGGGTTTATTATTGCTAAATTGCAAAAGTGTAATATATTTTAGTATTATTAATTGATTGTTTATTATTTTATCGGGTATTATATATATAATATTTCGTAAAACTTTTACCGTTATGTATTTATATTTACAGACCAACTTTTAAAACGATAACTCCTACTTCCCGAACACAACTTAAATTGCAATTACAGCGAGAACAACAGCAACAGGAGTTGGAACGTCGTGATACTGAAAAAAAGGCTGCCGCTGCTGCTGTTGCTTTACAACAGCATATGCGCCAGCCACATTCAAATGAAAGTCACCTAATTCCTGAGAATGTGTTATCGCAACAATGCCTAAATCGAAATAGTATCGAAAACTTTTGTAATACAAGTTCTAATCCTAATGCTAACCAAACTAACACCAACAATGGGAACACATGCAATCATAACCACAGTAATTCCAATAGCGGCAACATTAACGATGTAGTGCACATGATGCAAAATAGTCCCTGTATTGGAGTTGATGTTCCACCACAAGTTTTTCATGTAAGTAAATTAGAGTATTTGATGCTTAAGCATTTAGCGTGAGCACAGCGAGTTATCGGAAATTTTCGAAAATTATATGGTGTTCGAGCATTATATATATTTATATATATATTTGTATAAAACTGAAACATAACCCTGGCTAGTCTTTTTGCAAGATTTTTACAAACAGAATTCAAATTACTGATCAAATAGCTCACACATCTTCGAGCAGCTCGAACGTTTCAGAGTAGTTTAAGTGTTCGAACCAAATATTTGACCAGCTCGAGAATACTCGTAACAGAATCGTGGTGCTCGAAGAGCAAAAAGCATCCATCATACATTAAAATATGATTTAAATTTGTATATTTGTTTTTATTAAAGGTTTCAACAGTTTTGGAAAATCCTACCCGTTATCATGTTATTCAAAAGCAAAAGAATCAAGTGCGCCAGTACTTAAGTGAATCTTTTAAACAAAATAAGTGGGATAGAATTATTTTTGAGGTACGTACAAGTAGTATTTACACGGAAAAAATTAATTACTTTAATTAACAAATTGTACTTAAAATTGATGTGTGTTTGTTTTACAATAGAACAACGAAGCAGCATCATCTCCCATCGCTAGCCAAAGTAATTCAACTTTTAATAATACTAATAACAATAACAGCAATGGTTTTAGTGAAGAATCTGGTGTTTCGGCAAAAAAACAGGGACAGTTTTTTTTGTCATGTAGTGGCGATAAAAGCTCTCTTCAAAGCTATAGACCAGATAATATATTTATTAAAAATAACTCATTTGGTGGAGGCAGCGGTACGATGGGGCAGAGTGGAAATCTTAGTGCGACAACTACGATATCTGCAAGTACTCGATCTGCCACAGGTTTAATAATGCGAAATAGTCCAATACTTTCTGCTCCAATGTCACCAAGTATTAGTTCAGTTGCAACAAGTAATTCTGAGGTAAGTTTGTATGTGTAAATTTTATCCATATAGTGCATCCATTTCAATAAATACGAAGTTCTTACTATAAAAAAATTAAATATTAAGGTGATATCGACTAGAGAATTAGTTTTTTAGGTCGCCAAATTAAATATCATTCAGCGGTATCCGGCTCCGGGAATTAGCATTAGAAATATTTCGATACAAATACTCAACACTCTTTTTTGCACAACAAATTCTCTTATATTCGATACTTTCTGCTTGCACTTACTTATTATTATTATTATTACTTGTCAGAAATAGAAATGAAAAGAAAGGTTCAAATAGAAACAGAAAAGACAACAACAAAAATTTTAGTTAATTTATTGAAATTTGGCTGATCGTACAACGCTGTTTTGACAACAACAAAAATTTTAGTTAATTTATTGAAATTTGGCTGACCGTACAACGCTGTTTTGAGTATTGTCAAGTACTCATCATCAGTGGTCTTAGGAAATATTCGAATTGTTTAATTAGTTTATAATCCGAATATATTTGTTGACCATATATGTAGGAATTTGTGTACAAATGAAAAACCTCAATTTTGAAAATTATTTATGTTTATTATTACCAAATACTATAAATACCGTTTTCGTGAGTACCTTTTTATTTAAAAAATAGAATTTGTTATATATTTGCCTTTTTTACTTCTGTTTTAATTGAATTATTGCATTTTCTGTCCTGATTGAACACATTTAGGATTATTTTAATATTTGACATCTTCATAAACAAAGAAGTACTCCTTAAAATAAAAATTGACATTAAATACAATGGGGTATAAGCATACGTAACTCATAAAAATGATATAATTTTTGTTTATATAGAAAGTTATCAATAAATTTTGAAACCTAACTAAATATACACGAATTTAGCAATCAGGACTGTCGGTTCTTTGCTTATTTCTATGCTTTTTATTTTTTTTTGTTTTTGAACAGTTCCGTAGTGGGTGGGATATTTATCTATAGGTACAGCTACAGAAAAGGTACATAGCAAGTATTGGCTTGTGACACAGTGGAACCTTGGCTTTATTCACATCTTGTTTAATATATATTGTTACTGTGGAACCTCTCACATGAAGTTTATATAATTATGTGCTAAAGAAAATTGTTAATATTGTAGTGCCCATTCTTTTTATTCGCTTTTCTGGAAGAGTGTAATTATTGGTTTATTACTAATTTTATACTTCTATTTGCGTTTTTTCTTTTAATGTTAGAATGCTGAAATTATTTACATAAGTTTTTTGCTTTATACGTAATGGGTTATATAAGCTGGTCTCTAATTTGGGTGGTTACTGCACTATAATTTGGCATATATAGTAAATATGGCTTATATAGTAAAGTTTTGTATACCGATTCCCTTCAAGATCCATGGGATATAGTTTTCCTATAGTTATTACCAGATTTTTGCGGTTCAATTTTTCTATAAATTTATTTTAAGAAATTTGTTAATATGATAGTACCAATTTTTTTTATTCGCTTTTCTGGAAGAGTATATTACAAATTTCTAAAATTATTTAATTATTTTTTTTGTTATTGCTTTGTGGGATTAAGTTTTGGAAGGCTAACTATTCTGGTGAAGATAATTTTATTTTTCATTATCCAGAATGAAAAAGTTGTCGTGAGATAAACGTCGGCTTTAAGCTTAGACCTGATTCTTTGGACAACTGCAATTCAGTGTAATAGAGTGGGGTTCGAAGTTCTATTTAGAATAAGTGCATGTTATCATTAGGTTGTATTTATCCAGGAGAGCACATGACTCTACTCCATTCTACAAAATTAAATATATTCTTTAAGAACATAGAACCGATGTTATTTATAAATAAGTTTTTGCTATACTATATATCTATATACGACAATACCATAAACAATTTTAATATAAAGATCATAGTTTCGCACAATAAACTTAACATATACTAGTATATATGTATATTTGCATGAGAAATTTTTGATGATAAATATTTGATATGACTATCCGGGTAGGTAGGCAGATTTTGATACATTTAATGTACTTTAACATTTAACTTATCATATGAAACATTAGCGTTTTAATAATAATATAATAATAATAAATTATTATAATAATAATATTTATAATTATATATATTTACAATAATATTAATATTTATAATAATATTAATGATCATAATATTTTTATAGTAGAAATTTTAAAGAAATCCTTTTTGATCCTATGAAGTTTAGGCTGAACCTTGCATATGAGGACATTATCCGTATGTATTAAATACTGCATATGGTTATATGAAGGAACGATACTTTTGGTTTTATTGAATGCTATGATATAGATATTAAGTGACAATGGCGATCCATTTAATATGCTTGAATTGACGCTATTTTCACAGCGAATTTCCTAGTGCACAAAAAAGACTTTACTTAGTTATAGATTTCCGTATCAAATTTGGAATTTTTTAACATTAGAAAATGTGAATCTGTCAAAGGGGTTTTCAAATGTCATGTGCAAAATGGGCACATCTTACATAAAAGTTTAAACTTGTATGACATACAAATATATTTAACCTGTTTACTATTATATAGAGCTTACAGTTCACATATGGATATAATTCCTATTTAAGACTTACTGATAGTGAAAAACAGAAAGCATTAAATTTTTTAATAATAATTTAATGTTTAGACATTAGATTATTACAATTTATTTTAAATGTAATGTTCAATGTTCACCAACAGAAATACAACAGAATAACACTTGTTAACATTTATTAGACATATTATACTAAAAAGTAAAGATGTCAGCATTGGCTTTGTGGAAGTTTAGATGTCTTTTATACATATTTTGAATCTGATTTATATGGCAATATAAATATAATATATTGTATAAATACATTATAATATATGTAAATATACAGCTTCTGTCATCCTCATCTCCCAGTGGAGCATGGGACCTCGACCATTCTCTTATAGCAAACTGTATTGCGCGATTCACGGCTAATGTCACTCCAGGAGTAATTTGCAGCTTCCATTTCTAATTGTATTGATCTTCTTCATGTTCTTGCTGGTGCGTCGACACGCCGACTTCCGCCTTGAGGATTTCATCGAAGTCCTTGATGGGTGATGTTTTCGTTCGTTATGCGGAGAATATGCCCAATGATATTTTCGTTTGCGCGGGAGTTCAAGAGGCGCGGGAGTCTAATTAGTATAGGTGCAGAGATCAACATTACTGATGTGGTTAAACCACCATATGTTTAAAATTTGACGCAGACACTTATTGCAGAATGAAAATCGACATATATAAGCATATTTAATAATATTTTATAAATATATAATATTTATGGTATGCTATAATGGTATGTTTCCACTACTTACTCAAGTAAGTTACTTGAGTAACTTTAAGACTTTATCGTTCACATTGATATTTGTTACTTATTACATGTAAAAGAGCTTTTATGTGTCAGAAAGTTATTAAAACAACAAATAAGATTGCTTTTATATATATATTTAATATATAAACGCATTAATATATTTTTATATATCAATTGTATATTTTATTTATAAAAATTCTTACCTCTTGTTTGTCTTGATTTGTTGATTGTTTATTTATGTTTATACATTTTGTTTCATATATTCAATATGTCAAATTTCGATTGGCATTCGGCAAGTAAATTAAAAAGCGCGGAAGCTCTTTGTATGGTTAATGAAATTTACTTAATAATCTCAAGTAAGTTAACTGGTCTAATGAAGCCAGTGGAAACATACTGTAACTTTCAGTGAAACTTCGAACTTTGTTGTGTCTATTTTTATATGACAAAGTCAGCTTTGGTTACTGGTTTTGAGCTCAAAGTCGGATTGCACCAGCAAAGTTCGTAATGTAAACCCCGTATTATACCATCTACACAAAATAGTGTAAAAAGAGTAGATTATTGTTGCCAAGATTTTTGTAACGCATTGAAAGAAACATTGTAGACCCCACAAAAAAATTCTTATTAGTGGTCAGCTCGGGTAATTAAGTTCATATAACCCAGTCTATCTATAATTCTGTTTTTTTCCCGCAAATTACTTTCAAAGTTTTAAGTTTTTGAAAAACAAATAAATGAAAACACATTCACCATCATGGGTTGGCCGTAAAATTAATATGGTATAGCATTAACGTATTTATTTTAATATATAAAAATTGCGAAATATAAGATATATTAAATAAATTATATTCTGTTATATTTCCACTTAGTTTAATATCACACTACATACAAAAGAGAGTGTTATTATCACTTGCTATATATATAATATGTCCAATACTAAATTAAATCAGCTCTGAAAGAGTGCAAAAGTGAGGTTGCGCGTTAGGTGTGATATGGCGTAGTCACATCTATCTTAAATGGCATTTACACTGGCCTTAAATGGCTCATTTTGGTACAAAATCAAAAATGAGATGCAAATGACCCATTTTTGCATACTAAATCTCAACCGCAAATGAGATCTATTGGATTTCATTCCGTATAAATGAGTTCCAACGAGGTTAGAATGAGTTCCAAATATGTTCCAAATGCGTTTTTAAGAAAGCTGTTTTTAACATATTTACAAAAAATGACTAACAAATGTTTGGTGGTTGCATTTGCTTGAAAACGATGCACCTCCTTTTGGAACTTTTATTCCCCAAAAATAAATTAATCGAAGCTAAAAATAAGTTTTTAGTTTATATTGTAAGACTTGAAGATATATTCAACCATCAACATTCAACCTCCAACATTTTTTTGGCACATGACAAAAATTAAATCAACAGGCAAGTTGAAAAATCAGCTGTTTGAAATGAGAATAAATGAATTACAACGAAAGTAAACACTTTCATTTGAAATAATGACTCATTTGAAATGAGCTATTTGAGGCCAGTGTAAATTCCATATAAGGGGCATGTTATGATTGCAGTCACCTCACATCTGACAAAAATGTTATAAAAATTAAATTTTTGTGAAAGAATTCTAATTTCAAGAAATAATAAAAAAATATTTTTAGTTTTTC